GAAATCTAAAAAAATAAAATTCTACAAGGGTGCTCGCATTAGCAAACCACCTCCTTCACTGTCGAAACCCAAAATCATCTTCATCGAAGAAATGCCAATTTTTATGCACAAACACATTGAATGGATTGTAAATGTTAAGTATGATGGTAATTGCATTTATCAGCGCATATTCGTCTTTTTCGATAGAGGTGAGGAGAACCATTTTCTTGTGCACAAACAACTTTTGAAATAGTTGACAGTGCATAGAGAATTCTAGACACCGCTATATGAAAAAATTGATGCAATCCACAATGCTCTTACTCCTTGTGTTAGTGGTCCCACACCATTTTTAAAATGGATACGTTTCCCTAAAATGATTCATCTTATAACAAGTGTGTATAACAAAATGTGTATCAATCTAACAAGATATGGTTTCTCAGAGACATTTTTCCCACTTTAAAGTGAACCATCTAACAATCCTTCCAGACATATCATGTGTATTGGATGGCTTTCAAAATTGCTACATTTTGTTGGGGTTTATTTAAAATCACGGTGTCCTATACCAAGCACATTGTTGGAGTGAACGCAACATTCTACGAAAATGGCAAAAACTTGGTCGGATCACTTTCTGTAAAGGATGGAAGAGATCACCAAATTAAGCGTTCTTGAAAGAGAATCAAATAATGAAAAATCGAAGGAGGAGCCAGTGGTAGATTTATGCGGTAAGACATTTTTTGATACATTTTAGAGTGTAATTGATATAGTTTTCTTGAATGTATTACCGTAAAAGATGTAATCTTTATACGATTAAATACATAAGTAATATATATTCAACAATGATGGTGTTACGTTCGACTATTTCAGTTTACAAATTGTATGGTTGACATTTTTTTGTTTTGTTTTTTCATACACAGGTTTTGGTTTGATTCTAAATCAGGGTAAATTCTGGATATGCATATCTGAATAAACCTCATACGTATTAAAAAAACATTGGGGAACTTTTCAGGTATGCATATTTGTAAATCCCCTTTTTCGTAAAAAGATCAGGATTGAACCAGAGATGCATCTCTAAAAAGCGATCTGATGCCATGATAAGGTTTCTAAGGTCCAAAATAACCTAATACTTGTATAAATAGGGTGTCTCTCAACCTAAGTTTTCTACAAAACACACAACAACCATAAAATGAATGCATACCCCTACCATGCATTTGTGTATTTCATTGGTGCATAACCCCCACTTCAGTTTAAGATATGTGACAATACAGTTCTCGTCGATCTGAAAACCAATTAAATACTCTCTTGCAATATCCATAAAATTAGAGAGTTGTAAAGCTCGAGTATCGTTCATTATCACTTGACAGCAAGGGGAAGATACAATTCACTAAATTTCCCACCTCATGGGGTGCTAGTTCACCATATTAAAAAGTTACAAAAGTTCTTAGATTTCGGAGATGCATCTCCGGACGCAACCAAATTAAATACCCGTAACACTTTCGTGAGTCAGCCACCCCATGTTACCTAAAAATATTTCCAGAGACGTATCTCCGTAATAACTCTTATTTTAAAACTTAGTGTTTTATGCTCTGAGGGTTTTACAAAAATTCATCTTAGGACAAATTTTAATTAAAATAACTTGCACAATACCCTTTCCCATCCCTTCTTCATTTGTTACATTTTCAGAAACCCTTAAAAGAGCTCTGAGCAAGATTCAAGTGTAGTATTTTTCAAGCTTCAACATTACTTCAACTGCATTGCAATCAATTACAGTAGATTCCATCCACTTCATTCAAGCTTTCTCAAAATAACCGTCAATTCAATAAGTTTTGCATTTTCTTTCTATTTTTTAGTTGTAATGCATGTATTAGGTAAAATAGATTGCTTAAAATGCATTAGTTTGTAGTTACATTTAAAATAGGTACTTTGTTTATTCATTCATACAAAATTGTTGGTGTTTAGGGCACTGTCTGCATTTTCTATAATTTATGCTATCGCACATTTTACAAAGATACATTTATGATTTTTTATAGACTTTTCCGCCTTTCCAGTTTTACGAAGATGCATCTTTGGATTTTTTTGGATTTTGATTTCCATGTTTTACTAAAATTCATCTTTGAGTTCTACCTGCCTTGGTTGTGATATTGTTTCTTTTGTTTTCTATTATAGGAATAATGGTTGAAAACCATGTCAAGTTAAGATGTAGTCGTGTATTCCAACATGCGTCCATTCGTAGGGAGAGGACATTGTGCTTGAGGACACGAGTCAGTGCTAGTTCTTTGATGTGGAAGTGTCAAATTCACATGCTCAGGTGTTTCAGGCTTCACAAGCTTACATGTCTTAGGCCTCGACCTCCTAGGGCATGTGTCCCAAACTACATCAGTAAGAAGTGGGAGGGTTGCAACAAGGACCACGAGGCCACAAGTTAATGATAACTCGTTTGATGGGTTGCAACACCGAGGTTTCCAACCATCTAGTTCTGCTTCTCGTGGCTGCCTTTCTCAAGCATCTACTTCATCAGGTGAGAAGTTGTGGTTGCCTACGATGAATATTAGCCATGTGCTGCCGCATTAATCTCATACAAGGGGAATAATACGGTCGAGCCATTCATATTGTATCTTTACTATCACATACCAGATAACATTTTCTTCTGCCCATGCAAGGGTCACCACAAGATGCGTCTGTTTAACTTCATTTCCTTATACTCAGGATGACTAGCATGTGAGTTATCTCTTATGTATCCTTATTTTCCGAGCGAGTGGTGCATAAGTTTGGTTATTTACAGATTATTCTGAGACCCCACTATGAGTCTGCTCCTCTCACCGTCCGCCGCAAATATCTTGATGTGATACGGAATGGTTTTGAGAGTCACTTGATACCAGAGGAGTATCGCAAGGCACCAGTTCCTTTACAGTGGGATGTATCTGAAAACTACATGACATGACTCTATTAGGTGTTAAACTCTACCATGACACTAGAACCTCCTGGAAGACCACATATGCTAGCTAATTATGAGGTGCTTAAGGCTAGGGATGATCATACTAAGGACGTGTCGACGGTCTGTCAGCGTGTTTTAAAGATGGGTAGAGCAGGCATAGTGGCAAGACTCGTTGAGGATGGCAGTCCAGTTGGCCTTCATGGAGATAATCATATTCGAGTTATAAAATGTTGTGTAGTACAGACAGAGGAAAAGGCAGAGGGTTAGACATACCCAATAATTTATGTTTGGATGTATTACTTTTTTTGTATTCTAGGACAAATATTATATATGGTCTTGACTTTTTGGAGTTACTTTAATTAATGTATGATTTTATACTTTCATTTTGCTTTAATATAACTTGTTTACTTTAATATAACTTGGCCTAAAAAGTTACAATGTTGGAACAATGGTGTTGCTCTGAAATCATTCAGCGCTTGAAAATACATCTCTGGATACACCCAAATAACGTACAGAGATGCATCTTCGGACCATGTTTTATTCAAAATAAGGTGGATATTGGAATAACAAATTCTCGTGTGATTTTGGATGCGTCTGAATATACATCTTCAGACGCATGAAGAGCATTTTTTAGATTTCTAAGATTGCGAGATGCACATAAAAAGGTGAGAAGAGCATTAATTTTTTTTACCCACACTTGTGGTGTGGCTCACACCTCTAAAAATCTGAAATTGCCTTTAGAAGTTTTCGGAGATGCATCTCCAGACGCACCTTGAATCACCTCATCCTTTGTAAAACAAACAGTCACCCCATTTTTGCCAAAATTTAGTTCGGAGATGCATTGCCGAAAATTTCAGAGGTGTATTCAAAGACGTATCTCCAAAATTCCTAAACCTCATTTACTACACGTTTTCATTGAAATTAGTGTCGTTGTCGGGGATTCTCTGTCGATTTTAACCAATATTATAGTCATACGAGTTGTATCTTCACGTTCTGGCCCTTGTGTTCCTGCGTTTATGGGCCTGTACACGACCAAAGTAAAAAAAACTCGACTTTTTAAAAATTTGACTCTGAATTGAAATTTTATTGTGCTATTTCATCAGAAAAAATCAGGGATCAAAGGTCAATATTTAGGAACTAAATATGTGACTAAATACAGGATACCACTATAAAAATCCTAATTTTCTTATTTTCTATTTTATTTGATTTATTTTCTGTTTTTTTTTAAAGTCCAAAAAAAATTGTTAACTCTTAATTTAATTTTATTTGATTTTCAGTTGTTTTTTCAGGTTTTAATAATTTTATTTAATCGTTTTTCTATTTTCCAATTATTTTTTTTCAATATGAACGTTGTTGGTATTTACATATTTATTACATTATTATTGCATACCTACTTAGTCTGCCTATCCGCATACACTTCATATTAAATTTTAAAAAAAACACAACAAAATACTTTACAACTATGCATATTTAAAACCGTCATTTTCGTAAAAAAAATGATGTATTCAGATATGTATCTCCAAAATTAAATATAATAAAGATGCGTCACTCATTTACATTCAATTTTACGAAAAATGAGAGCGTCCGAAGATGTTTCGTGCGAGAAAATATAGGGGTGAATAAAGAAATTCCCATAAAAAAACAAACATTATTCAAAGCCCAACCCACTTAGTTTCGAAGACACCAATCATCGCTATCCACCCGCGTTGCCCTCCGAAACAAGTTTGATTGGATTGGATAGGAGGCGCGCCGAACTGAACCCGCCGGAAAACACTGTCGGAGCTGCTCGTATTCCCCCAGAAACAGTTACAAAGTCTTCCAGGTTTTCCTCTTCATTTTTTTTACTTTTTTCCAATTTCCCTTAACCTAAGCACCGCAATAACCAGCTACTGAAAGAACACAGCTACACTCCGAAACGCGATTACACGCTTAAGATTGATAACATAGAACTAGTAAATTCATGTTTCCTGCGGAAAACACTTTCATTTTTTTGTAATTGAATCCATAATCTTATTATATATGTAACATGATTTTCTAACTATTTTCTTGGAGTTAGGTACTTCATTCATCCTGATTAATTTTTGAATGAATGGATATGAGGATTTCATCAGCAACGTGCAATTCCAACGTGTTTAAATTCAGTGGCTTTTTTCACAAAGCACTTCCTAGAAGACTCAAATATGGAAAACAAAATTGTAGAAATTTATCCATAGGTACATCAACAACTTCGTTAATTCATCCCCCTACATGTACAGCGTTTGCTTCACCTGCCGATGTTCCGCAACGTTCCGATGAGTGGTTCGCCCTCCGTAAGGACAAACTAACAACCAGCACCTTTAGTACCGCGTTAGGGTTTTGGAAAGGTACTCGCCGTGCTGAGCTCTGGCATGAGAAAGTGTTTGCATCCGAGTCACAAATCATTCAAGCTTCTCAAAGAAACGCAATGGCGTGGGGAATGTTGAATGAGACAGTGGCTGTTGAGAATTATAAGAAGATAACTGGCCGCGATGTGAGTTCGATGGGTTTTGCAGTTCATTCAAAGAAGTCTTATGATTGGCTTGGTGCCTCGCCGGACGGTGTTTTGGGTACGGGGATATTGGAAGTTAAGTGTCCTTATAATAAGGGTAAGCCTGAGACAGGTTTGCCGTGGTCGACGATGCCGTTTTATTACATGCCTCAAGTTCAAGGTCAAATGGAGATTATGGATTTTGAATGGGTTGATTTGTATTGTTGGACGCCGAATGGAAGTACTATATTTCGTGTCGTCAGGGAACGTGCATATTGGGACATAATACATGGGATTCTTAGAGAGTTTTGGTGGGAAAATGTGATTCCGGCGAGGGAAGCTTTGTTGTTGGGTTGTGAAGAACAGGTGGAGTCTTATAAACCTGCATCTACTCATAAACTGACTGGTTTAGCAATTGCGAAAAGCATCAAGTTAGCTAGTGAATCGAAGCTAATATGCAGAGAAATTGCAGGTGATGTTGAGTTTTATACCTAATTATTCTGGTTTACTTATGTTAGTAAGAAATTGAATTGATTCAATAGTGTAATCTGGTCCTATTCTTTGTACTGCCTTTGGCACTCTTGTAATCTGCCAGAGTGAAACTATTCAAAATTCCAAAGAGCTGCAATATTGAAGTAAAGATAGATTTAACCCAACATATAATTTGAGCTAAAGTAGACACATTTAATTTAATTAGAAAAGAATGAGTCCATAGAGTTATTCTAGTACCTGTTAATCAAGGAAGAAGACACTGGCTTATGGTATTTTGAGGTACCTTAAATTCTGAGTTTAAGTCTCTTATATTAAAATCCAGGCCTTAGGTTAATGTTTTGAGTGACGTCGTTAATTGTATAGATAGTTTTGTATGTATGTATTCCTGGTTGCTTCAATCTCATTGCATATGTTTTGGAAAGTATGATATTGTTTAAAACCATTTTTCAAGAGATGGTATATTAAAGCATCGAAGGCTTTCAAGAATTTATCCACCCAAAGAAGCACCATTAGTATTTTGGAAGGAGAAGATTGTAGTCTTAAATACATTTTACTTTCTTTAAAAATTAAGCATTCAGTTTGAACATTCTCTTAGATATTTTGTTTTGCCGTTAAAAAAGGAGACACTTGCGACATAATAACAGATCTTAATTTCACACAATTGAAAAATTTTTGTATTTGTGTTAAAGATAACAAATGAAATTTCAAATTTATAGAAAACCTAGGCGAATATGAATCAACTATTTTCTGTTAAACTTTTTTCTAGAGCTATATCCACGAAACGACCCCATAATTATTGGTTTCGGAGATGTATCTCCGGAACTTTCCCTGAATTCAAAACGAATCAAAACAAGTGTCGTCGGCTAAGTCTGTTGGTGGTACCCCTTTGGACTTTTTCGCATTTCATTTCTTTTTAATGTTGTTTAATCTTTTCAACAAAACGATCTGGCCACGTCTCAGCATTTGCGGTTGAATGAGTTGCCCATTCCAGTGATGTAGGTGGTATGGGGCATTCCAGTTTCAAGTAAACTTATACAAAATGTCTTAATTTTGCAAGTCATCCAATGCACGTGATGCGATCATTTGGACTTTGAGGTGGTGCGGTGTAGAATGGAAAAAAGGTTTCTGAAAATCCGTATTGCGTCAAGTCAATGCACATCCTATCATATGCATATGCAATAAGATGACTCATATCAGGGAAGGTCATCCATTTCGACACAGGGTTTCAGACTACTCAAGCAAGGAACAAGAAATTCATAAACCGCATTGAATTTTTCTTTCTTCCCATACAACCGCGTGTACGATTTTTTATGCGTCTTCAACTCTTGGATTAGTTGATGACGAACAAGCGCATGACTATCCTCTCCTTTATTATGCAAAGCCGAAACAGCCCGGTAACCGCAATTACCATCCCCGCAATATTGACGATACAATCGATGTATTTGTGCATAAAAACCAGCATCTCGTCGATGAATGAAATTTTCGGTGGAATCGGGGTTGGAGGCGGTTTGCTTATGCGGGCTCCTTTAATGAAGCTTTTTTGAGATTTAGGAGTCGGTGAGTCAGGATAAAGTTTGTCAACATGCTCACAATAAGAAGGAGACCGTGTAGTTGATTTGTCATTCAGTGTAGGCTTCATTTTCTTCGGAGCACCTTTTGTCTTTACCGGTTGAGAAGGCAGTTTTACGTCAGTTGTTTCGGAATAGGAAATCTTCCTCAATTGTTCTTTGATGTGGAGTTTCATGTTGTCATCAGTCTTTAAGAGTCTCTCTTGTATCGCTTCCCATTAGGCCAAAATAGAGATATTCTGTTTACCTCCTTCCATGCAACAATCATCATCAAAACTAAGTCTTTTTCAATGACGTCAAACTTTGTCCATTCTTATTGGCTCACCTAGTTTCAACTTTGTAGCAATAACACAAGCACACAGAAGACCATATGTTTTCATAATAGTGCAACCACACTTTGCGCTATTGGAACCTACAGTTTCAGCTCGTTTGGCCTCGTGAAAAATATAGTTCAACCTCGGTCGAGACATATTGCTGATCAATTGAGAATAAAGAATGTTGTCTTTTAATCGATGTTCCAATACCGTTATACTCCGACCAAATGTTATTTGTATCTCATTATGTTGGTTTTTAATCATGAGATTTAGGGAGTCCTAATCTCGACACAAATCCCCCTTGCTATTACCCAACCAATTTTTTAAACTAGCATGGGTCGACTCAACTCTATTGATGGTTGTATTTTTAAGGTGTCGGACATTATCAGTCCACGCATAGACTATCTTCTCCTTCACCTGATCAAGAATGGTGCTTTCAACGTATTTCAATAAAGCAGGATACTTTTCACACACTTTCCGAAATTGAATAACGAAATCGGCATATAATTATTTTGTGGAAGAATTTAGTATACGATTCCACGCATCCATTATTTTTTTCAACAATCACACCGGTCTTCACCAATTTTCCACCTTCAGACTCTACTTGTTTTGCCCCCACTGTGGGTTTAACTTGACTTCTCACATTCTTTGACATGTGATATCAACAAAGTAATGAATTAGAATAAGGAAATACTTTTGCAATCGTATTCATCAATGCAGTATCGCGGTCGGTAACAATCGTTTTAGGCATCTCAACTTGGTCCTTCAAAAGTGACCGACACAACTCTAATGCCCATGTAAAATTGTCCTCTTTTTCACACTTCAGAAAAGCAAAACCAACGGCATATGTATTCTCGGTAGACGTAACACCAACCATCTCAAATAAAGGAAGTCTATACTTTTTGGTCTTGTAGGTAGAATCAAGAATGAGCATTGTCGAGAATGTGTTGAACAACTGTATCGAATTCAGATGAGTCCAAAAAATATCTCGGACCGTAACTCCATCGTCGCAAGTTCTGTATCGGGACACGTAATTGTTATCATCCAACAATTTCAATAGTTGTTGCTTCTCACTTCTATCTCCCTTAATCGCCTTGTTGGTGTGGTACTGAATGTTCACTTGCCTTATATTTGATATATTGTTGGTTCCTTCTGTTTCAATGTGACAAGTATATTTTTCGGTTGGACAAGATTCAAGGTCATGTCACTAATACATGTCTTCTCTTCCGGCTTAAGTCGACTTACACTAGGATGACCTTGTAACTTTAAGCACAATTCATGGTTATGCAAACCATAAATAACACTAAATTTTTACTTTTTGGTACTCAACATGTAACCACGAATCTTAAAAGGATATTCACATTTTCTACTACCGATGTCGTCTCTTTTAAACTTCTGTAGATGAGTTTGATATTTTCCACTTCTTTCGCACAACAAAGTTACAAAAGTGTTTCTTCTTTCTGAACCATTATTCGATCTTCCTATAACCACACCAAAACCAAGTCTAGTTGCAGTCCTATGAATCCATGTGAGCATACTATCACGATCATCAAACTCTTGCTTGTTATTAAAGTCAACGTCGACATCTACCGACTTTACGACAACCCCTTAAACAATCAAAGAAATGTCGTTTTAGAAACTAATTATTTTGAGATATTATCGAGGTGCACCATATCTATTTGTAAACAATAAGAAAAATAAACAAAAATTACAAATCTGCTGTAAAAAAACAGGTCACAGACAGGTTCTAGAGATGTGCATCCGGAAGTGTTCATCTTCAACACGTTCCAGAGGTACAACTCCAAAAGAAAATTTACTTTTTTCCCCAAAAGTTTGATGATTAATATGAGAAATGTAGTGGGCAAAGTGCAATCTTTACCTGAAATTCGATCTTCTCTTGCTCCTTTTGATTTTTTGCACAAAAAAGTTAGAGTTTTGTAATGAAAAAAAAATTAAGAATGTATGGTTTTTTAGGTTGGTGAAGGTGAGTGTGGAAGAAGAAAACACAACAATGGGGGGAGTGATCATGTAGGTTTCAAATATAGCAGAAACTTCCGGAGTTGTATTTACAGAAAAATCTGGCGCTTAGACGTTCCGGAGGTGCATCTACGAAAGATTCTCTGAACTGAATTCTTTTGAAGTTTTTCGCAACATTTACCAGTTTAAAATTATTCCGTAGATGTAGCTCCGGAAAAAACCAAATTTTAGCAAAAAAAAGGTGCGTCTGGATATGTATCTCCGGAAGAAAAGGGCATAAACGGAAATACGCTAGGTGTAACACCCCCTTCTATACCCCCAAAATAAAAGCAAATAAGCACTTAACCACACATACAATGTTTATCAGAGTATATATTTATATCACGGTATAAAAGAAGTGCCTCACATTACACACGAAACGACCACATGAATATTAATGTTCAAAAAGAAATAATTCAAAAGGGATAAATCTCAACTAAAAATAAACGCATAGTTCTTAAAAACAATCTTCATATTCATGTTTAAATTAAAGCGGAAGACTAAAACATTGAATTACTTAAGACATGATAAAATACATATACACGTCAACAGGTTGTTCACAACATCATCCACAGTTTACCGAACATCATCAACTAATACATATATAATGCATTACAAGGATTCCCTACAAGCCTAGCTACCCGATGTTACATATCAGAGCGACCGACTCAAGAGAAAAGGAGCTATACTCCGAAGGAAACCTCCAGCAAATCCTAATCTGCAATGCCTCATAGAGCACCATAAAACAGCAGAAGGGTGAGAAACATTACCATAATAATAATGCATATAATTATGTATATAAACAATCATAAAATACATATACGCCACATATCTCATCACACCTCATAATCAATTCACACACTCACCACTCCCACATCAACATATCATATGTATACATACATACACTTCTCCTAATCAATCACATATACATCATAATGCTTCACATGCAAGATGACTCAATCAACGGGATCAGAAGTAACTAAACCATCGCTCACACCCCACAAGGGCACACGAGGTTTCTGCAGATCCTACGCGGGATCAGACACACAAGAATGCAATCATGATGCTTCACATGCAAGATGACTCAATCAACTATAGACCATCG